TGGCGGTTTACTGAGCGCCGTTTAATGTGCGCTTATCACATTTGCTATTTATGGTTTTGCTTGCAAAATTAGCTTTTTTTCACTTTTCGCTTTGTGATAACATAATACATGTGTCACACACAAGCTATGCACACATTTGTAGAAAAGTAGCTACACACACGATCATACACGTATCCACACACACGCACACACACATACTCACACGTTGAAGATGTAATGTAAACTTCTAACGTGAACTTTAATATATAAATATATAAAAACTTACTGCTTGCTGCGGTTATTGTTATTTGCTCTTAATACTTATATTCGTTCATGAAATCAAAAGAGAATATGGCCTTTGAATAATGTCCGCCCTGCTGTCCGGCCAGCCATTTTGCCGCCATAGCAGCTAGAGACTGCAGTATGCTCCCTTTTACAGCAAAAAAAAAAAACTAAAAATTTTGCTACACGTCTCTACTGACTTACCAAAGAAAGCATTAGTTGGAGTGCTCGACTTGTAGATACCCTGATCACCCACCGATCTGCATTTGTAAATATACTCCACAGTTTATATCTGTGCATAGATATGTTAAGCACATGTAGATACATTTATAGAATAATAGAAACGTATAAAAAATTTCAAGTAGTGATATTTATACTCTCCAGATGATTCGAGCTAGCACCTAAAGCACAATAAAATATGCTATTTGTTAAAATAAACAATTAATTAATCTGGTAGGGGGTGCTCGACTTTTCTTTGCTTTTAAATGTACTCCATGTTCAAACATGTTCAAATCACCTGATTCAGGGTATCTTCTAGTTCGGCACCCCTCACTGGAGCTTTCTTATTTGTCTTCTTTTTCTGTTGTTACAAGAAGTTAGCGCACAGTGGATTAATTTGCTATAGAATCTAAATAATTTGCAATGGAAGGAAACCAGTTTTTCCATTAAAATAATTAAAAATAAACATTGTATTTTTTCGATATAAATATATGGAAAGTCAAGCGTTTTAATTACAGTGAAACAAAATCAAAAATAATTAGCGATTGTTATCGATACTATATAAATTATCATTGATATATGAAGTGTCATTGCCTTTAAAGGAACTTTTCACATTTTCTCTTAAACACTTGGAAATTTACGTATAAGATAATTTGAGCTGTAAAAAGTAATAATTGAACCACTGTGTTCTGCTGCAGTTATTCCCTGCCCTCTCTTATCGTTCGTTTGGTTTGTCAATAATGCAATCAGTTGTGTAGTTTGATTAAAGAAATATTATTATTATTATTATTATTATTATTTTGTTCATGCATGTGTGTGTGTATGTGTGGATTTTGTGTCACAATTTGCGGTTTTGAGTTACATACATACATACGTGCTGCTTACAAGCATACATACATACACACATGCACACATACCAAGTTACAAGCCAACTGTGCTGCCTAGTTAAAGAGCTCATCTTTAGGCAGTACATACTTACATATGCACATACATTCATACACATACAGTCTGTCAAGAAACACTTTACACAGTGGAAAAAATCTCAATTTTTTGACTTTATGTAAAAAAATAAAGAGTTTTTGTTTAATTTAACTAATTTTTTTTAATGGTTAACTGTTTAATAGGTATTTTTAAATCAAATTATAGAAAACAGAAACAAAAACAATAATGGTGAAACTTAAAAAACAACAAAAACTTAGATTACTCATATTTTACACTGTCAAGAAACTCTTTACACACTTCTTATATATTGTTCTAAATTTAAAATGTAAAACTAATTATAACTAATTTTGAAATACTTAATATTTAGTATGGCCCCCCTTAGCATTCTGTACATGTTGGAGTCTTCTTTTCATTGAGTTGACCAAGTTTTGAATATACTCTAGGGGTATCTTCTGCCACTCTTCCAGTACGAAAGCTTTTAGCTGTCCACGGTTGGTTGGATTCCTTTTTCCAACCTTTTGCTTTAAATAAGACCACGCATGTTCGATTGGGTTGAGATCTGGGCTTTGGGGTGGTGTATCCAAGACCTTTCCGCAGTTGTAAAGCAACCAATTACGTACATTATACTCCTTATGTTTTGGATCGTTGTCTTGGTAAAATTTAAAAGTTGGCCGATTTTCACTAATAAAGCCAAATTTGGTTAAAAAATATTGCTCGGCATTCATTGTGTTTTCAATGAATACCAATTCACCGACTCCTTGGCTGGAAATGCAGGCCCAAACCATAACCGACAGCTTTCCAAATTTGACTGTTGGAATGATATTCGCTTTGTCGTAAGCTTTAGAGACCTTTCGCCATACTTTGGGCGGACCTTCGTTGTAATACAACATTATTTTGGTCTCGTCGCAAAATATAACGTCCTTTCAATACTCCTCTGGGTGCCTAAGCATAGTAAGAGCAAAACAGAAGCGCTTTTCCACATTTGTCGACGACAGCAAGGGTTTCTTACGTGCCACTTTCGAAGAATACCCATGCCGTAGAATAGCCTGACGGATCGTTTCGTGGGACACATCCACACCACACTCTTCTTTGAGCTCCTTGGCAAGAGTTCTGGTCGAGATTTGGGGATTTGATTTGATCTTTCGCATCATAAGGCGGCTTGCCCGATCAGATATCTTTTTTTTTCGGCCACCCACACCCTTTGCCTCAAGTCTTCCCTCATTTCCGCGCGACTGAGAACGTTGTATATGGTTTTTCTTGACACAGAAAACATTTCCACTAATTCTGGAACTGATTTGCCCAACTGCCGATTGTAGAAGATCAATTGGACAACATCGAAGCTTAATCTCTTTCCGGGCATTATTAATCAAAATTTGTATTGCTTTTATACAGTGGCTCCAACGCCAAATCGGACAAGACTATTTATTTTTTTCAAAGTGTTTTTTCTTATGCAGTAAGTTAATTTTTTATCGTTTTCACATTTTTGCTTAAATCTATTATGTATAAGCCTCCCAAAACAAAAAAAAAATTTGTAATTTCAAACGGCAACATTTTTTTTATTTTAAAAAACGAGCAACAAGTCCGATTTTGAGCTTCAACGCCAAATCGGACAAAAGAAAACTTAAATGAAAAATAACAGAAAAACGTAATATTTAATATTTTGTTGCAAAACCTTTGTTTGCGACAACAGCCTGCAAGCGATTGGGAACTGATTTGACCAACTTTTTGCAGATCTCTGGCTCTATGGAGTTCCAAGCTGCAAGTAATCCCTTTTTTAATTGGTCAACTGTGTTATACCGGTTTTGGTACACTTTCCTCGCCAAAATTTCCCACAGATTCTCTATGACGTTTATATCCGGGCTCTGGGCAGGTGTTTGGATCAGTTTAGGACAGTTATAGATTAGCCAGAGCCTAGCTAGCATTGAAGTGTGCTTGGGGTCGTTGTCTTGATAAAGAGCAAAGTCTTCAAGTATCCCCAATTTCTCCGCACTCTGCTTAACATTTTTCTTCAAAATGTCAAGGTAGCCAAATTTATCCAATATGCCATCAATAAAATGCAAATGGCCAACTCCCGCACTCGACATACAGCCCCAAACCATGACTGAACCTCCTCCATGCTTAACAGTGCCTATGGTGTTCTTGGGCTCAAACTCAGTATTTGGTTTACGCCACACATACACCTTACCATCGGACCCATGCAAATTAAATTTACTTTCATCAGTAAACAACACCTTTAAATAAGATAAGTGTATGATGATATGATGATTATAATATGATATACAACCAACTAACATGATTCCAAAAGTCATCGGTTTTTAGCAAGTACTCTTTTGCGAATTTTATTCTAAACGCCTTGTTCTTAGGGCTAATATACGGCTTTTTTTGTGCAACTCGGCCATGCAAATCATACCGATGCAAAGTATTGCGCACTGTGTTGTCACACACATCCTTTGCAAAGTTTGTTTTTATTGACATCCCGAGTTCCTTTGCGGTTTTAAAGGGATCAACCTTAATTTCCCTTATAATTGACCGTTCTTCTCTTGAGTTTAATCGCTTTCTTTTTCCCTCCTGGCTTTTGTTAATTAATCTTCCATCCTCCCGAAACCTTTTTATGATATCATGAACGGTAGATTTGCTTCTTCCGACCAGATCTGCTATTTCCCTAACGGGTTTGCCATCAAAATGCAGTTTTAATATTATTTGGCGTGCCTCAACACCAGTTTGCTTCCCACGTGGAGCCATTTCGCAAAAATAATTTGTGTTACTGTCACTTATGAGCTTGAGAACATAACGAAATGCAATAAGCAAAACAAAAACGAAAATCTCCGTCAAATAACGGATCTTTTTCTTGCAGTTTTCTTTTGTCCGATTTGGCGTTGAAGCTCAAAATCGGACTTGTTGCTCGTTTTTTAAAATAAAAAAAATGTTGCCGTTTGAAATTACAATTTTTTTTTTCTGTTTTGGGAGGCTTATACATTATATATTTAATAAAAAATGTGAAAACGATAAAAAATTAACTTAGTGTTAAAGAAAAACAACTGTGAAAAAAATAAATAGTCTTGTCCGATTTGGCGTTGGAGCCACTGTATGTGTACTCAGCCAAATTTCGCACAAAGTGAAAAATAAACACAAAAATAGAGATGCATAGACAGATTCTAAAGGCATAGTTAACGGTAAAGCCCCGTTATTTCTTAGAATCAGAGCAAAACAGATGAAGAGAACAAAATGTGTAAAGAGTTTCTTGACAGTGTAAAATATGAGTAATCTAAGTTTTTGTTGTTTTTTAAGTTTCACCATTATTGTTTTTGTTTCTGTTTTCTATAATTTGATTTAAAAATACCTATTAAACAGGTAACCATTAAAAAAAATTAGTTAAATTAAACAAAAACTCTTTATTTTTTTACATAAAGTCAAAAAATTGAGATTTTTTCCACTGTGTAAAGTGTTTCTTGACAGACTGTATATGGATAGCTTAATGCAATTTCTATTATTGTCAAGAACGTTAAAGTTGTCATTTTGTTTGTCTAGAAAACTTATGAGCGAAGATAATAAATTCAAATAATTTGTTTTCTCCACAGTGACCGAATGGTCCGACCAATGGGCGCTATTCAAAGCTGATTGATAATGGTAAGTCAAGATTTTTAAAGTAATTTGATATATTGATACTAAATTGATGGCAAATTGTAAAGACTTTATGTCTTATTGTTTTTAATTTACTTAAGCTAACCTAAATTGATAAAAGCATGTAAGTAACTTTAGGCCATTTTGATTTTGATTTATATTTCGGACATTGTCTTGAAAATTCACAAAATAAGTTCAATAGGACATAAAGGTTCCTTAATACCGTTAGCAATTATAATTTGACTAATTTGCAAGGTTGTCAAATAACGGTAATAACTTGATGCGTAGCGAAGACGAGTAACGAAATTAAATTAAGCCTAATTAACTTAATACATTGTTTATGAGCACCCATGTAAAGTGTGCGATTGCCATGGGTTAAAGATGTACTCATACACATGCGCCCACATCAATACACACACTCAAACACATGCATTTATGTACAGTGAGTGCTCAGAGAACTTGAAACCGAATCAAAAACTTTGTTCCATTACCATACCATTCCCTGTTTGCCCAAATAATCCAATTAGCTGTCACACGGTTAAAAGGAAGAAGATATAAATACACGAAAATTATAAGCAACACGTAGGCAGAGAGAAATTATGCCTGTGCTAAGTTTGGATGTATTTGTTGTTGTGATTGTTTTCTGCTGGTTACACTCTAAACAATTTCCATATGCAGCAAATGCAAAAATAAAAAGTAAAATAAAAAAACAGCAGCAGCAGTCATGTGCAGTGTCCTGGGAGCAACAGCGGCAGAACCTGCAGAGCAGCACCAACAACAAAAACAATGTAGACAAAACCACCGCTGCGACGCTTTTGGCACACAAATCTCAATTTAAAACAATCAAATGGAATGAAACAACACAAAGTATAAAAAAAATCACGAACAACAACAGAAACAACGACGGCAACAGAAAACGACGCAAAACTGTAAACAAACGAAATATCTACAACTACATATACACAGTCAAGTGATGGCATATTCACATGCATACCGACTGCCGATGTCGCAATATACTCACACATACAATCTCACTTACTCACACTAATGCAGAGCTGCCTGCCTGCCTGCCTACTGTTTGTTCACCACACTCGGAGCGTTGGTCTTGCCGAAATGTCTCACCGTCGTCACGTCGTTGATGCTTGTCAGTCGGTCAGTCGGGAGGTCGTTTCGTCGAGTTCATGCGTTCCGGTTCAATCGTCTACAACGTAACGCAACGCCTTGGCAATGAAACGTTTCAGTTTCTGTTAAAACGCGAATGTGTTTGGTTCGTCAGAGCTGAACGGCATTTATTTGAAATTTTTTTGCGTACCGCAAACACGAACGCCGAAGCAGCTGTAAAAAGACCGACGGTAAAACAAATATAAATTAAGCAGAGCATTAGTCGTGCGTAACAAAGTGACTAAACAGCCGGCCTTAGGGCAGGGCTAATAAAAGTAAATAAACAACAGCTAAAATTGGCAGTCGCAAGTGTATTGTCTTTCTTACACAACTACATACATACACAAAGGTTTGTAAGTATTGGCGTTCAAATAGTATACGTGTATATATAAATAAATTGAGCTCAAGTGTCAAAAGGCAAGGCCACAATAACAACAAACGTAAAAAGAAGAATCTGTGTTTAAAAAGCGCATTGCTACAATTATTGCAAATATTCGGTGTTTGTGCTGCTCTCGCTAGTTTCGTCTTCACTTTGCAGCGGCGGCGTCGACGTTCGCAATGACATTTGCACGCACTGTGTGATTAGTATCGATGAACATGCTAACAATTTTTTGCGCACCATGTGCGGCATATTTGGTGCGCGTTTGTTAAACAGTGCGTGAAAACGAGCACTGGCAACAACAAAAACAAAAGGCAATTCTATAAATAAGAGCAAGAAATATTTATCAATAAATAAATAAGAAAAATTGAAGTATTTTTAAAATGAAATGTGCGTAATTCTGGTTTGATCTTAAAATATTCAAAATTAATAATTGAAACATAAATTTGCAAGTATTTGTCACAACGAAGAACACGTTTAAAAACGGTTTACTAATTAAATGCTGTTGGTTCAAATACATTATAAATGTGAATAAATCATGTTTCTATTCCCAGTGTTCCATTGTGCGCTTTCTAATTGCTGACACGCCAAGACAGCATCAATTCTGCGGTGTAAATAGCAACGTTGCCAAATTATAAATATCTGTAACTACAGTGAACACTTTCCATTTGGAATGCTTCGGTTTCAAACGCTATTTTCTTTAGAAAAAATGACTATTGTGTATTCATAACACTATGATGAGCATAGTCTGGATAATCATATAATAATAGTAAATAATGAAAATAATAATAAATGAATATGAATAATATGGTAATAATAAAATGTAATTTAATGTTTATTGAACATGGCTCAATAATAAATTAACAAAGGTGCTCTAGTCGAGGCGGCATGACTAGGAAATACCTTTCACCCTGCGAAGAGGTGTTATTTCAATCACACATTGGAAGCATGCAAAATCCAAAGTATACGAAATATGCGTATTCTTACTGAAATACCCGCAATGAATTAGGAGTTGCCATCTCTTATGGTATTTTTATCGAAAATAAGAAAATAGCATGAATGATCGAATAATAAAAATAGAAGCTCCGACGTTTGGTATACAGAAGGAATATATTTTAAATAACAAGTTGGACGGACATGGACAAGGCGGAGATTAGAAATGCAATACCGCACTTTTTTGTAAATAGATTAGAAAAACATTAAATGATGCTTATGAGCAAATGAGTATACAAATATTATTGGTTCTAGCCTAATTAATTATAAAATACATAATTATGAATTACCCACACTTTTCATAATGCCATTTGTATAAGTATATATTATTGTTTATCCAGACGTGGTTAAAAATGTGTTGATAATTAACCCAACCCGTCCTCCCCTCCTCTCTCTGTCAATTCAGTTTGCATAAATTAGGCATGCAAAACGCATTCATATCACCTGAGTGCTGCAATTAAAATGTGGAAGAAAAAGTAGCAAAGCACAAGAAATTGAAATGTGCTTTGTTTTTTGTTCATTTCATGTATGGTTTTTGTTGTCTTTGATTAATCAGAAAAAATGGTAAGGCGACGGCAATTTGCACATCGCTGAGCACAAGTAATTTTAATGAAGTAGAACTAATTTCTAATTAAAAGCAACATAAAAACAAAACCGAAACAAATAAGGCAAACTAAATGCATGAACGAGACACGAAATAAAGAAGAAACAACTAAGAAAGATCTAGTCGATGTTGACCGACTGGGCAATACCCTGCCCAATGACCGATCTGCCTTCATAAATATACTCTGACACTTGTATCTGTAGCATGGAAATCACATTTGCCACGTGCTTTTGCCTATTGGTCGAATTGAGTTACTTGATGGATTTTAGTGAAATTTTCAGCATATCCTATTAAAATATTTGTCGATTTTTTAAAAATAGAAACTCTTTAATACATTAGCTATATTTGCAACTGAATTTCAATTTAAAAAAAGCAATATTTGGAGCCGGTATTCAAAGTATATCTACATGCAAAATTTAGAGATTAACTCTTAAGACGTATGAGATATAATTTAAAACTGAGTAATACGGGATATCGTTAATACGGGAACAACTATCGATTATTGGAAACAGCCTTGAAATAAGTTTCCTATATAGTGACATACAAATCGACTTATCTCGTCGTCCTCATCAAGAATATATATGTACTTTGTTGGTCCTTTCGCTGTTACATAAAGCATCACAAAACCATTATACCCTGATCTCCCAATTTCAGCGAGTTTTTGGGTATAAAAAGAAAACAAGGACAAGCAACGCATCGACGAAACTAAAGCGAAAAGACAGCGGCAGCGGTAGCGGCAGCGAGTGAGATAGCGACCTGAAGCTGCTTAGCGGCGTCGCTGCCAGCGCCGACGTCTGCAGCTATGGCAACAGCGGGCAATAACGAGTTTAAAGGTCCGCTAGCTTGAGTACAGCGTACTTACACACACACACATGCGAGCACACACACACACGCGCACACATACACATACACACACACGCGCGCAGAGTGGCAGACAAACAGGCAGACGAACGTAGACAGAGAGAAAGAGAGAGAGAGAGAGAGCGCGAGAGAAAGAAGACTTTCTCTGTCACAGCGTAAAAGTTCTATACTTTTATGCTTTTATTTTTGACAGCCCAAAAATAATCGCATTTTGATAAGAAAAAAAATGAGAAGCGTTTCAACTCTCACTCATTCGTTCTCTCTATCTCATACAGAGTAAAAAAGGTGAAAAAATAACAGCGGAACGGCACAGCAGCAGTGGTAAAGCAGCGCTGTAACTGCGCCGCGTACAACTTATATTTTCTTTTAGTGCTCGTGCTGCTTTGTGCTTTCAAACAAATAAAACTGGTTTTCGTCTCAATTAAACAAACCAAAAACAAAAACAAAAACAAAAATAAAAATAAACAAAAACGAACGAAGAATTAATAAGACATTTGTATGTTTGCTGTTGCCGTTGCTGTTGTCGTTGCGTTGAACTAGAGCTGAAAAAGTAAAAAGTAAGCGCGGGAGGTTAATAAACGACTGTGTTGGATAGTGGGCGGGGTGGGGTGTACGATAATAGATATGCACGTTAACACTGTAAAGTATGTCGAATTAGCCGCGTAAATACATAGACGGCGAAATATCAATGACTATTTCGGACAGAAAAAAAAAACAAAGTAAGAGTGCTCTACTTGGGCCAACTCGACTAGGCTGCTCTGAACTCTGCGAGGAGCTGATATTCCAATCTTTGTTTTTAACGAATTAAAGAATATTTATCTTTAGTCAAATACAGAATTAACTATTTGAGTGCTGACTTAAAGCCAAATGTTCAGCTTGGCATTTAGCCTAAACAGCTGCTGTTGCTGCCTCTGCTGCTGGTTGGACCTGTCCTGTGACATGGCGGGTTCTCTCGGTTACGCCATTCTTTAGAACGCTCTAACACATGGCATGCATGCTCTGGGCCCA